GTCACTTGTGCATAGCTGAACRCTAAAACAGAGCCCAAGGCAATCTCCTGGCCCTGGCAGTTCAGGAGCACAGGATGCCRAGTCAATCTGGGAGCAATGTGCATGAGAAGTCTGTTCCTGAGGGGTAGCTGGAGGGAAGTTTGGGGCTGTGGAAGGAACAGATGAGGAATGTGGCTGGTAGGAGCACAGGGCTTGAGGGTCACAGAGGTCTGTCACAACTGAGCTGAGTATCAGGCACGTCACTGAGGGTAATGCAAATGGCTGGATGGGATTTAGTTCACACAAGTAAGAAGTACTAAGGTGACAAAACTGGGTACTGGTGAGATCTCTGTGACACAAGTGGACTGTCACCATCTTCACTAAGTTCTGTGTCCATGAATATCTCAGAACAGGCTCCTTCCAAGGGTCTGTGTCTGTATTCCTCATTTGCCAGTGCCTCCCAAAAGGGAAGCCTGCAGATGCAGATCCGACTCTCCTCATGTGCACATGAGCAGCCAACTGAGCAAGGGAAGGGTTTGCTCAGAGCTGTCACAGAGCTGCACATATTTTCCAAAGTGTACGGCACGCTTTGACAACCCAGGCCTTCACACGGACTGGTTTAGTGAGACTCCTCTCACCCTCCTCCCCCATGCCCCCAGCCCTACATGAAAGCAAAGGCAACATTCGGAACTAAGCTCACTAAAAAGGATTTGGTTGATTGCTACACTTCAAGCACATGTAAGAAATCCCATGCTGCTGCCTTGTGATACGACGCAGCATGTCCCAGAGGTTGGTTTTAGTGTATTTACTCTTCCAGAGCACCACRTCTTTTAGTGAATGGGCAACATGATGCAGTTCTGGTCCCATCACAACATGTGTAACATCTGGGAGAGCTGCCACTTGTGAAGCCAACCAGCGCTCTGCTGACAGACAAAGTGAGCATTATACTGAAATGCCATTCCTCAGCTGTTTGCAGAATTAATTTCCCTGTAGAATTTTCTAATTAGTTGGCTCTTTCCAGCCCGTTCCCCACAGAGGAAGCAGAAAGGAAGCAAAAGGCTAGCACCTGCTCCCAAAGCTCTGGCTGGGAAAAAAAAATTAAATTTAAGGATGACATATACAGCAAGTATTTAGACGCTAGAAGCCTTCTATCCATGCAGCTGTGGGGATGAAGTAAYTCTGTTTGAAAGCTTAATGGAGATTCTTCTGTGGGGAAGAATTTCCAGTGGCTCACATTCCAGACAGTTAACCACATTACCGAAGGGAAGAAAAAGGGATTTGTTTAAGCATTAAAAACTGTCTTAAAAGAAAAAAAAAAAACTTTAAAAAATTCCCCCAATCTGTAGAAAAGACAGACAGATGAATCCAGACCTGAGAATGATTCTACAGTAGCTCTCTCTATTACTTGTGGGTTATTTTCAATCATTCCTTTTTCTATATGATTTTGAATCAAAAACTTACTACGTTGGAATGCAGTGCATGATATTATCTTGAAAAGGAACAACTAACACAACAGAGTTTATTTCAAACTGAAGTGAGTCACTGGAATAAAGGAAATAGCGTGGTTCTTGCTTTGAATTTACCTGCAGTGGGTCAATGTAAGGAAGAATACATGGTGGGTATTTAATGAAAAATAGTAAGAAGGAAAAACAATTCAAGAAAGGTAATTTGCATYTTTGACTACACAGCCACTTTGCCAAAACTATTTTTAAATGCTGTATATAAAGGAACATGATGGTCAACTAAAGTTAGAATGCATGAGGGGGAAAAATCTCCCTTATGGAAATTACSATAAGCCATAAGCACTTCAATAAATAGCTTTCTCTGTCTTTCCAGAGACCTTACAAAATAGTAGACCCTACAAAGAACTAAGGTTTTAGAATAAGATCACAGATAAAATCCATTTAAATTAATCTGGTGTGTGTTTGGATCAGCACAATGTGTGGTGTAGGAGTTGAGATGAGCAAGACTCATCCATTAATAAGGCAGATGGTGTATTGTACATTTTTGTCTAATTTGTGTTAATTCCAAATGCTCCTGACAGTTGTTTTTTATTAGATTCAACATGTGTGTCTCAATGCATGTATATATTTGGAATAGGGGTATGTGGGATTGAAACAGTTCTTAATTAACAATGTATTAATGTCAGAGAATCGAGACACGGTGTTACATTTTTACAAACTCATCACTTTCTGGGACAATATTAGATAAACAAATGCAGGGAGTGTAGGTGGGAGGAAAAGTTCTGCTAAAACCAAAGGAAAGGAAAAGAGAAYGTTGCCTGCCTGAGACCAACACCCAGGCCTTGTTTCCCACTCAGAGACAGCTTTGAAAAAGTAATGAAATAAAGAGTGGAACAGTCAGGAAAAGCTATTCCTACTTTTCTCTGGCAATGCTTGGTAAAATTCTCTGGTATTCTGGTTGTCCATGGAAAATCCGGGTATGAATGAGTGGCATTTATCCCTGTCATATGAGGTGGTGCTGACATGTCAATTCCAAATGTCTACAATTATTTCAAGTGGACTTCCCCCCCAAAGCCTACATTGGAGAGGATAATTTCAAACTTCAGAAAACCCAAATAAACAACCCTCGTTTCTATTCCTCGGAAGTGGTGCAGCTAAATTCATCTGTGGCTTTGAAAATCTCCCATGATACTTTAGTCTGGCCCATTAACTGCACCTGTTCTCTTTTTCTTTCTCTTCTTTTTTGGGGGGAACAGGGGTGGGAGGGGGGGAATTATTTCCCCTTCAATAACAGATGTCTGGCTTTTAAAGGATGCATAGGGTATTTTATTTCATTGCTGTCTAGGCATTTCAAATGAAATAATAATCCAAAACCCCTCATCCCATTATTTCCCACTTTGAAATTAAAAGTAAGTAGTGGGAGGGAGAGCATGTGCTTGGAAAGCACAGATAAAAACATAATGTGGAAGAGTAGATCTATTTTCCACAAATAGRGATCTAAATGAATCCATGTTATATGTTTCTCTATATTATTCACTCTGACAAGTGATATTGCTCAAAAGGAAAATGTTTCACTGAAATTATTTTGACTTATTTCTAATTTGAGGGTAGATTTTYCAAAAATATAAGCATATATAAGTTGCTACAGGCAGCTTCTCTCCAAGACCCTTAGTCTTAATCATAGAACTGACTGAAATTTCATTTGCCTGGGCCTCGTTGAAACAGGTTTTATTTTTTCCTTAATAAGTAAGGTGACAGTGAATAGCAATTTGAGTGTAAAAAAGACATATTGTTCTCAGATTAYTACAGGTCAGAATATTTGACTTCAGCTATATCTGAAGTCAAAAAAACAGGTTAAGAAAACCTTGGTTTGCTGGAGAAAATAACCCCTGCTTATTTCCCACACACTGAAATTAAAAGAATATTAAAACTAAATATAGTTGAGGCAGTGACCTTTAAAAAGTCTGTTGGGGGATTTTATATTGGTTGTGTTCTGTTTTGCTTTTGATTAGTTTTGACTAGTTTATCTGCAAATCTAAAACACATGAAGAAACAAAGTCTGCAGAACGGAAAAGAATGATTTTCTYTGGGAAGCCTCTAACCTGTTGTAAGGAAGAATTCTGCATTATGGTGCAGCTGACTCAACCCTTATTTCTGTCAGTTACCAAGAAAAGCAGAAAAAGACAACTTCTGTGCCTTCCCAAAAATTTAGGAAAACATTGCATAAATGGCTGAAGAGGAATGTTTGACTCAAACATCGGAACACTGGTTGAGGAGTCACCTTTTACTGGCTGCCATCTTAATGCCACCACTGACTGGCATTATCTGGTTTTTAGGGCAGTGAATCCTCACCCATGCTAAGTGGGAAAGGCAGGAAATCTTGTCTTGCCTTTAGCTTTGACAAATGTCTAACAGAGGTGAGCACAGGATGAGAATCCAAAGGCAGTTTTTATGGTCTGATGGCAGCTGGGTGGCATCTTCCACAAATTTGGGATTACGGTTCCTTGTCCTTCTTCCCCCTTACAGCTCCCTGACACAYAGCATCTCCTCCTCTTCTTTACTTGCTCCCTCTTTTTCCAATCATCTGTTTCCCCACTCAGGTGGCTCATACTGCTTTCCTTGAACATATTCATCTGGGCTAATRTTGCCAAACAAACGGAGGGTGGCCAGATCCCAAATCCCACTGCACTCGCTGACCACCCCTATTTCCAGCRCCAGGCATGGCAGCCCTGGAGAGGCTCGCAGGTTGCAACATGTGTATTAATATCATTTTGCTTTCTCATATCCTTATCTCCAACAGCAAATCTCTGCAGCTCAGGATATGAACTGCAAATGAGAGATGAGGAACTGGTTAGTGCTTATCGGGAACGATGGAATTTGAGATTCGGAGATGAAGGGGGGTTGTTAGTTGTGTTTTTTTAATGAGAGGACTGGCTGATGTTTATCAGTTGACCCCCGTTTCAGGTAACGGAGCAGTTGGCAGGGAGCTATTCGTACTGATTAGATTGAGAGAGTCRGTATTCAGATTAACTTCTGATTTCCCTTGTATTATTTGTACAAGCTCTTTATTGCTCTGGATAATTGTCCCCTTCCTGGTTTAGGAAGTGGAACTGACATCCTCCTGGAGCACTGCTACCAGCTCACCAGATTTTATTATGTGAGACGACATGATGGTCATAGATTAACCCAACCTCTTGCTATTTTTCTGTATTAAAAGTAGACCTCTGTGACATTTGCTTTGTTCTAACCAAACAGGAGTAATGCACAACTTTATCATCTAAGATTTATGGTGCTGAGAATGATCAGGATATTACTTTTACTCAACATTTCTGTGGCTAAGGCAACTGCTATCTTCTTTCAAGGAGTGAATATTTGTGTAAGTCGAGTGGTTTTCAATCCTTACTTGTTCTGAGAGTCCCCAAAACTCTTCTACTGTGACTGGAAGGAATTATAATGTTCTTCTCTCTCCACACCTAAGATGGTTGCCTGCAGTATCTWTGGGTTTCCTTCCTGTTTCATAACCTGTTATTTGTCACTGTTTTGTCTCTGCCACAACAGATCCTTGAAGTCATCCATCAGAAGAGCAGATTCCTAAGCAGTTGTTCAAAAGTTCTCTCACTGGATTTACAWGCCTGACCCCAACTGATCTTGCAATTGCAGGTGAGAGTCCAGGTAGAACAAGTAATGACTTATCACATATGTACCTGARGATTTCCACTACACTAACAAAAATATTTTTATTGACATTTCCTTTTCCAACCTGTCTATCAAACCTCATATTTCACATATCTGCAGAGAAGACCAGGTTTGTTTTCCATGAATGGGTCGCATTATAGGGTTTTTTATGTTATTCCATCTCCTACAGGCTTTTATCCAAACCAAGCAACTAAAATAAAACATGGCTTCCTTCCCTGAGATGGTTTCATAGCCCAGCTCTCCAACTTTCTCCCGCACCACAAACATGCAACACAATTGTGCAACAGCCGAGGAAGGAATGGTGAGATCAGAGCCGTGACTGCAGACATCCTGACATGGGGATCTGGCAGCTATTCAACACAAACACAATTAGAGGACTTACCCTTGCGTGAAGTATTTGCTTTCTTGATAGTCACCAGCCTTAACCTCTAGGAATGCTTACGAATCAGATAGCGTTTCTTGAGGAGGGCGAGCCTTTTCAAGCTCTTCTGTCCTGCTTTAGCCAACACAGATACAAAGAAGAAAGAAATTCCACTGCATCCTACAACCTCTCCAAGGGAAAGCCTTTAAGAAGCGGAGAAGAGTTGCGGTCTCAAAATCCCTGCCAAGGATTCGAGAACAAAGTATCACATAGTGCTTGCTCCTCTTCCTACTCTCAGCAGGAAAAAATAACACCACAAGAGACAAACTTTGAAATTTTCACCAAATGTGAAAGTTGGGGGTTTCCTGAGTCCTGCAGTTGACTTCTCTGGCAGTGGTGATACCACAGAGGAATAGCAGAGCTTTGCATGTCGTGGGAGACTCATATGTGTGCATCTGCCTAGATCTTTGTGGTCTTTTTGTATACAAAAAAGGTTTCATTATTTTAGAAAATGTAACCTAATGTACATTGGATGGATATTACACAACTTACAACTTCTCAAGTGTAACAACACAATTATTTCAGTAGATTAATTCCAATCAGTGTAAATCCTGGGCTTTTCATAGAGTAACAGCATCTTTAAAATGRCAATAACAACTGACCTCTAATAAAACATCTGCTAGCAAATTGGTTAAATGTCAGTCTGGCACAGCAGTTATGRAGGGAAGGTCTTGTTCAAAAATGCACAATAATTTAAATTATTCTCGTCTCAAACCATATCAGTGACACAAGAGAACTGGACCAAAGGGCCCACTGGTGCAACCACAGCAGTACAGAGGGGAAAACCAGTGGCGCTTCCAGATGATGCGATGTGACATGACACAACTGCCAGAGCTGCAAGACACAGAGATGCTTAACTGGTAAAACATAAAATAATAATAAAAGAAAGCACTAAAGATCCAACCCAAATATACTGAAGTGAACTGAGAAGCTCTGAACTGCATGACCTGCCTGAGCAAAGCCACCACATCCCTKCAGGAGCACTTATCCAACACCAGCTTTGAAACTGCACCCTGGAACAGCAGCCCAGCAGCTGCAGGAGGAACAGTTGTGCCGTGTTGTGCCTTCCCAAGTGACCAGATGCACTTTTCCATTGTTAGCAGCTTCTATAAATATCAACAATCAGAAAAACARTGGAGATCGCCAAAATGTCATATATCTGAATCCAATCAGAACGAGACACTCCCAAAAATATTTCCAACGCTATGAAATTCACCCCCACACACACACCCCTCCCCAAATATCCAGGGGAAAATTTTTGCATGGGACCAGAGGGAAAACAACAATAATTGCTCAGCCAGATATCAGTGGTCACAGAGTTGCGAGCTAAGGAGCTGATTTATGTTAGTTTGGGGTGCACAAAACAACCTGGCTATGCTCAAGGGACAAACTACCCGAGCATGGTACTAAACTACTGGTAGTAAAGCAGTTGCATTAAGAGAGAAAATACAGCAACTAAAACACATTTCTGGAGTAGCACTGTTGACATCTGCAGATCCACCCAAGCCAGGCATTCATCCCAAAATAAAAAATTGGCAACCAGCTATGAATGGTTTCTGGTCTTGACTTTTTGTAACTCCACTAAAGAAGTACAATATAAATCTGCAACCCTGCATCCGGACAATAATTGGAATATGTCGAGAAAATGCTTGCAGTCATACTGGATTTAAAAAAAAAAAAAAAAAAAAAAAAAGAAAAAGCAAAAAAAAACGAAAAAAGATATTTCAAAATCTAGCAGTGCTTATAAACAAGGATGTTACTTTCCCCTTTCTTATCCAGAACCACCCTTAATTGAAAGGATCAGTATCTAAAGCAACTGGTGCTGCCCTGCACATGAATCCCCTTTGCACCTCTTCCTTCTTATTTCTTCAGTGGTTTTATTAACATTAGTGACTTATCTAAGTATTAGAATGCTTGGCTGCTTGGAAGCTTATCAACAGCAAATTTTATGGGCTGTTTAGTGATGGAAACAGGAGGAGTTGGAGCTCTCCCCCCCAGCTACCTCGATATGGAAGTCTTCAAGAAGCCATGGAATGTGCTCTCTGGTATTTTTGGTATCTTTAAAGTGTCAAGAGTGCAGAATTTCTCTTGTCAGTTGTCACAGTGTGACTCACAATTAGAGCCATCTGCTCTGCATTCACCTCCCCAGGGGCACCGCTCGTTTTTCACCAGCTTCCTGTTGTTGACAGCACAGTTCCTCCCTGTATCACTCTCCACCAGCACCCATACTCCTCACAGACATTGCAGCCGGCTTAAGCAGATTTCCCTTGGGAAAGCYTTTCCCCTTGTTTTGCTAGTGATTGGAAAAAATATAGACTGTTGAGAATGCTCTGAAGGCGGAGGCTGGCTTTCTAAAGGAACTGAACAAATTCCATTGTCTTCTTTTTTTCTTTTTTTTTTTTTCCAGGAGGACCCCATTGTTTTTAGTTCTCTTTCAAAAATCTCTGTTTTCTCTACATCCAATTTTAACTTCAAGCAAGAGAGAAGCTTGAAAAATGAAATATTATTTGTGCTGAGTCTTCTTCAATAATTGGTGCAAATAGGTGAGAAATCCTATCAAAATATTATTCAATTAATTTTTCAAATACCAGAGATAATTTCAAATAATGTATTTCAGACAGGGAACATGCTGTCTTCTCTTCCCACTCCACCCAATTAAAAAAACAGTTCTGCTACAGATTTTTCACCTCAAATGCTTAAGCTGAGGGAGACTAACTATCCCAAAYACAGATCCATGCTTTGTGCCAGGATAAATGTCTGGACCATGCAGAAAAACCACTTGGGTATGGCTGCCTGAAGCACAGCTCTATTGTGTGTTCTACCTTTTGGCATTTTGCCCCTGTACACTGAAAATTTTATTTCTTAGGCTCTGACCAGTGGTAACAGATTTGAGATGTAAACTTCTGCTTTTCCTGGGAACTCAGTTTTTCTGAAGGGCTCTCCAGTCCTGCAGGAGCATAAGATCTTAGATACTTGTCAGTTACTGTAGCCATTCTTCCTTGGGCTTGGTCCGGTGCTTCCCTGTTTTGTCTCCTGCACAAGAAGCAGCCTAACAGAAAATTCAAGTATTCAACATAATATAAAATGCAACTTCCACAATGGGATACTAATTTTATCCACATAACACTTTTTCCTGAGCCTTTAGGGCAGCTCCTGGGCCCTGTTCCTGACCTGACATTGGTAAAAACCACCAATGTCCATGGTGCTCCAACACTGCAAATAAATGGGTAAATCATCTATTTTGTACCACATCTTATCAATAAATGTTGTGTAACTTTTTTTTTGTGATTTGCTGGGATCTTTCCAGAACCTGTGTTTGACTTGTCCCAGGAACAGACTCTTACATATTCATAGTCCTCCAAACACAAGTTTAGCAGAGTCCAGATCATGATGCATCTGCACTCACTCAGTTGCATCACGTCAATGTGATGCACAGAAGCCTTTCATTTGCCTTCTAAATCAGGACAGTGTAACAGCTGAAATATTTCTCGCTGACCCTGGTCTTCAACACAAAACTAAACTTCTCTTTGCTATTTCAACATTCACTCCACCAGTATTATATTTAAGGTCAACGCAATTTGGGCCCTGGATCCAGACTGCTTAAATTATTCAAAAAAATATGAACCCACGCCAGTTAAATCAAGAAAATATGTTCAAAAGAAAGATAAAACACATCCTCTGTTTAAAAGCACATTTTCAAAAAGCAACTCTAAACTCATAAAACTGTTAYGAAATCCACAGTTCCTCCAAACACGAGGAGAACTCTCTGCAAGCTAGAATATTAACTCATATTTGTTGGGTAATCTAGTAAACCCAGATGGGGAGAAATTGGAAAGGGAAAAATGGATTCTTTCAGTGTTGCCTCAGATTSTTCATCTATTGCACTGCCCAGGCACGTATTTGCACTGAAGGTTTTCAATGTTCCGCAGCTGAATTCTTACTTAAAACCTGCATTTGGTGAAGGCATGAAAACCTGSATTCAAAACAGTCTCTACAGGATCAATTGTGGAGCTGCCACCAAAAGGCCTTAAAATGCATTTGCCACTCAATAATTAYTGTTCCAGTAGACTATAGCAAATTATTTTTACAGATTACGAACCCACTGACTTGACCACCTATTAAACACAATCTTCTTGGGCTGAAGGGCTCTTTCTGATAACTGTCATAAAGACTAGGATGTACTTTGACAATTAATGGAAATGCATTCTCTGTTTTGCAGAAGAGCAAACTGGTAATAAGGTGYATTGAAAAAGCAAAATTATACTGAAGGACAGTATAATCCTTTTCAAGCAAAACTGTTTCATRTATAAAAATTATTGTGACTAAGAGAATCTGGTTCTGCACTGAAAACCTCATACATTTTATCAAAGATAGACCTGAGGACTTGCATTTTAATAATTAATTTCATAAAAGATCCCAAGAGCAATAGAAAGGTCATGAGAGGTGCTCCAATCCATGGGCAGTTAAGCAGGAGAATGCTTCRATGCCCTTTAGCCTTTGAGTGTGCTGCAGGACAGGGGGGGTTGGTGCTAAACGACAAATTGAGTTAGAAATATTTAAGTCATAAACCATAGTAAATCTTTTAGCACTTGAAACACCATGAGACACTCCAAGCTGAGAGTAAATGAAGTGTTAGTCTATGCATGTTTAAAATGCACAGAGGCTGTGTTTACTGAATTATCCATTCCTTAACTATGGCTCCTTTAGGAAGCTGACATTCAATGGTTTCCCACCAAAAGAAACCATTTATGAAAAGCTCCTCTATCATGGTTTAAGAAAATAATATGTATCACTCTGAAAGATAATATGTATCGCTCTGAAAGCAAAATTATGCAGGTTACAAAGTCAAGGACAGCTAAATTAGCAAGTGGCAGATTTATGTGTGCCTGTGTAACCTCTACTTGGCCCTCTTGTAGGTCCTGTGCCCTGAGTGAGACAGAGGTCCTTTGGAAAAAATAGTATGTGATTATGCAATTAAAGCCTATATCTTAACACAAAAAGCATCTGAATTAAGGGTCTGTTTGCAGTTGTGAATGAAACATTTCCTAGTGTTTAAACTCTGGGCTTTGCAACCTTAGCACCGAATTTCTGTCAAGTGGTATCKTCAGGTGGCTTTTATGCATAGGTGCAAATTAATTCTAGCCAAATTAGTGAGCCTTTATTGTGACAGAACAGCCTTCCATTTACCTGAGTTGAGGAAAGAAGAACATCAGGAGTCATCTGTAAAAGGTTGCTCCTCTTGAAAGGCTGTGGCCTTTGAGTGGAGACAGCAGGAGCTTTATATAAAATTGGTTCACCTTCCCTTGTTTACTGGCCAAGGTTGAGATCAATATCAAGATGAGCACACTGAAATAAAGATTACTGCTGCCCAGGCCTGAATCTCACCACATGCTTTGCTGCTTTTGTTAGCAAAGTCATCCRTCTAGAATCAGAGCAAGCCAAATCRTTYCTTCCTAAMAGTTTTGAAAGGCTGCTCAAAATTCCTAAGGAAGACTCAKATTGACAGGAACCTTCCTACCAAAACCCTTCTGACCAGCAGGACTGCACACTCCTAGGAAGGAGAAGGTCTGAGGAAATTGCCACCACACTACCACTTCTTCATGCACTCAYGGCAGTCCCTCAGGGCCTGTCCTGTTCTGACACAACCCTTTCACAAGAGGGGAGAGCAAACTTTTTGCTTCCCTGCTAAAAGTATACAGCAGAATCCAGCATAAACTTTGAGCTGATTTAAAGTCAATGTAGTTCTTATTATTTTAATCTCTCCTTTCTTTGCTTTATGGATTTAGTCAGGGAAATCAAATATTGAAAAAGCATGTTAAGTGCAATGCAAGCTGAGACTGTAAAAGTGCCAAATTGATTAATGAAGTTACTATAAAATATGCCACACTGTTTAAGTATATGATGGTATAAAGTCATCACCCTACAGAATAACAGAAAATGTCATATWTTTCTGAGTCATCATAGTTGCAGAGATCATCACTTTTCACTCCCTGACTTTTAAACTTCTRGAACCTTAGATCTTCTGTATATATGGGATTTTTGGATTAATAAAAGTTAGTACAAACCTTGTATATTCTGAGAGTCTTATTAAAAAAAAAATAGCTTCCTGATTCTGGATCTTAAATGTCTAGTCAGTAATAAATATTTCCTTACAGATTTTTAAATACTTGTGGGGGAAAAAGAAAAGGAAATAAGAAAGGCTGCCCAGGTTTGGAAATACTTCTATAACAAAAGCTGCTCCAGAACATTGTGTGCTCCAAAACACTGTGGCAAACAATATAGGTGCAATTAGGACACTGTTGTCTTGACAACATCATGTAAGTAATGAAAGAAGCATTTCTGTTTCATGAAAGAAAGCTGCAGTGTTATTCTTTTACTCAGAATATTGCACGCAAGGATATCAAAAGTGCCACTCAAAATGAGTGTGGCAAATAGCTGTCAAGATGACCAGACTTTGAGACTRCAGTGTTGAATCCAAAGTGAGACTCCCTTCTCTGAAAAACCAATATCAAGTAATGCTGCATAAGGACAAACCACTAAAGCTTGCAGAAGCTTTGCTGATTGTTTTGGGATTAGCTCTCTTACAGTGCTCATTTTCATGGATAACCATCACTATGGAAGATGTGGATGCTGGGTTCTGTCACACTTAGCCAGGGTTCTCCCAGCCCTGCTGATGGGTTTCAACAGGCCTCACTTTTGCCCATATCCTCTTGTGCTGCTAGAAGGGATTTTAGAAAAGTTCAGGAGTAACAGCTGGACTTCCCAGAACAGCAGGTCCAGTGTCAGGGCTGTTACCAAAGCGATCCTTGCAGGACAGGGAAATGTCCTGTCTATGAGGAACAGACAGAAGAGAAGCCATGAGGGCCGGATCCCATAAGAAATTATCATGAAGTATTCCACACTGCCCAGTGCAGGCAAGAAGCCCTGGAAGCCTTTGGGCCCAGATGTAGAAGTTCMAAGGAGCACAGGAACCACWTCTGGGAGCAAAGTGGAAGGTGGAARGTGGCAAAGTGGTGCCAAGCATGGTGCCCCCTGAGMAGCCATTCAGCCATGTCAGTGASACACTGCACCTCAGAGCAGACCTGGTGAGAAGGAAATGCTGGCTCCCCCTGAAGAGCAAGAACTTGGCTCTGCGAGGGAACAACTTGGGCAAAGGTAGAGCCATCAGCTCCGGGSTGTGCATCATGCCCAGCTTGACAGAGAAGTCCTCAACTTGGAGAATGCCTTCACTTCAAAAGAGCCCACTTGAATGTGAGGATACACACTGGCAACAGCAGGCTCCTTTGAGGTACCTTTCCCCTCCCAGCAATATTTACCTAAGAAATTTCATGCACAAAAAAGAATGAGTGAAAGGGAATATTCAGATACATCAGAGGAATGGTCTTCACTGTGATTTCTTTTTCAGCCAGCACTTWGTTTKCTTTTAATGGAAGCCTGACAGTCATAAAWAGCTATTGCAAGTGCAGCTCACTGRGAAGCAAACCACAGCCCTGCCTGCARTGTTGAGRGTCRGGATCRTTACRTTGTTAGTGTGCCACCCACAATCCAGGCAATGCATCCGCTTACTCKATTAAATTAAAGCATTTCCTGGAGCAATTGAGGAAGGGTGAAGAAAATAGGTGCTATTATAAAGCATTGTATGATTGGCCTTTTTCTCTGCAAGCCATCAGGAACTGCAGGATCTCTCATCTCCCATCCATTCCCACCAGGACATAAATGTGAAGGGCTGAAGCCAGGAGTGT